GACAGAGCTGTGTGTGTGCGTGTGCGTGTGCGTGTGTGTGTGTGTGTGTGTGTGTGTGTGTGTGTGTGTGTGTGTGTGTCTGTGTGTGTGTGTTTGTGGTGTGCTGTAGTATGGTAAGGTACAGTGTGGTTAGAAGGCAATGTTAAAACTGATGATCCAGCTCAGAGGTAATTTTAAAAAAACCTTCTGGAATTGTATTTCACGATCCTGCTCATATTAATATTAACCACACTTGACAGACTATTTCCTCCATCTCCCTCTCCTCTCAAACGTTACCTGTACGCCCCACCTGTCAGAAGGCTTTTCCCTTGGTCCCTGTCTTTCTGCTTGGCAGTCTTCTCCCTCTTGGTTCACCTGCCAGAGTTAATGGGCTTCTACCTGTCCGTGTGTGGACCACATGTTGTGCCTCCCTGTCAGTTTGATGTCTCATTTCAACCAGTCAGCATGCTCCCCCATAGTGACCTCACTGATGGTAATCCGATCCTCTCGCTGTTGTCACAGTGTCAGGGATCTTCTTTTTCTCAGAAAGGGCCTGTTCGTATTTCAGATTTTAAATAGATAGATATCTATTTTAACCCTAAAAAAGATCTTGTGTCGCGAACATTCAGATAGTTAGTGAGCCAGTTAAACTATTGTATTGAGCTTGCCTTGTACCTCCTAACTGTGATTGTGTGTACACAGTGGTAGTCATTCCAGACTTAACGCTCTGATTCCGTACTGCTGTGTGCACTGGTGCTTTGACTCTCTGCTTTGACTCTGTACTACTTGCTCTTAGTTTGAGATTGTGTACACTGTGCTCTGACTCCATTCCTTTGTTTCTCTGTGCTTTGACTACTGTGTGCACTGACTGTGATTCTGTGCTCTAATTATTTGACTCCATACTCTATGCTTTGAAGCTTTGACTCTATATTGTGATTTAGATCAGTGGATTGATTCTGTGCTCAGACTCCCCAGTTTGCCGCTTGGATCTGCATGAGTTGGGCAGTGACACCATGACTCACCGATTCAGGACCGACGGTATGACTCATCGATTTGCAGACCCCGTCAGGCACACAATTCCTAATTAATTTACAGCAAGAGGAGGCTGCTCTGTTTCCTTCTAATGAAACCTGTCTGCAGTGAAGTGTCAGAGGCCAGCAAGTACCCAGTGAAGTGTGCCTGTGTGTGTGTGCGTGTGTGTACAGATGTGTATGTGTATGCGTGTGTTCATGTACTTGTGTGCATGCCAAACACACACTCACACACACTGAGAAGCACTCCTCTTGCTCTCCCCAGTCCTTTCTTAATCCACGCTGGGTTTGTTACTGTGTCTCTGTTACTGCTCTCAGGGTTGGTTTTCTAAGGTACACAGAGTCTGTCACAGGATATTTGGGGTAACTCCTGCACCCCAGCAGTGCATGAATAATTCAGAGATCTCCTATTACACTGTGAGCCCAGCCGGACAGCTGAGAGCGGGCAGTGGATCTACAGGCATACAGACAGACAGGGAGGGAGAGACTCAGATGAGTTTGCTTATTGCACCCCATCAATTTTAGCAAGAGATACAGAGAAAGAGAGACCACTTGGAAAGAAAGAATAACTAGTAAAAGTTTACACAAAACTTGAGGGATGTATTTGTAGAACTCATTATTGAAATGCTCTCTGTCTTTTTATTGTTAGAAGAATCATACTTAGAACATTTATTTGTGTATATGTTCATTGGTTTACTTTTAGATTCCTTTGTGCATTTGCGTTTGTGGCATTTAAATCATTGTAATGTTTAGGGAACATGTAGAGAACATTTTTCATGTCAGTGAAGCATATTGACTTTGAATTGAAATGAGAGAGGCAGAGTGACAGAGACAGCCAGAGAAAGAAAGAGATGGAACAAGAGAAAATGAGAGAGATAGAAAGTGCGCCTGTAGTTTTCATATAAAGCTGTGGGTCAGTGGCTCGACTTTATCCTCTCTGCCGAGGGAGAGATGTCCCATTCATCTCTCTGCCACATCATTTTTTTTTTCCTCATTTCTCATTGGTTACCAAGAGGGGATGCAGGAATGACACAGGTCTACATGCATTTCAGGAAGGTGTGAGTTTGTGCGATGTTAGAGAGGCAGAGATGGGAGACAGAGGATGGCACTGAGCCGTACTCCCTGTGGGAGTGCTGCATCCATTGTGAATGTACAGCAAATATGAGCTGCTTAATTTCCTGTGCCTTCATTCTCCCATCTACCAATCATACGCGCTGTTCTTACAATGTTTCTAGTGATTCATTAGTAATCAGTGTAAACAGAACTCACACTGTAGCTGTGTAGGAGTGCGTGCGGAAAAAAAAATTCAAATATATTTCCTAATGTAGTACAATTTAAAATGTCCAAGCATTTGTCACATTTTAGAAAATTGACCAAATGTTTCCATTTTTGCACTGACAAGCGTATTCTCTGTGATGAACTGCAGTGCTAGTTTTATACCTCGGTGTACTGCACTGTGAATGTGGAATGTCTTTAAGGAGTGTGTGACATATTTTGACATAAATGAAATGAACGCTTTTATTTCGCATTTTACTACATCTTTGTTGCTTACGGTTTTTC